TGAAACTATCTAGCACAAGACTGAAGTAGTGAGGTAAAAGACTGGCAGATGTGGTTCTAAAGAAACAATATTGTCTGAGAATGCCAGTTACTGATAAGTAACCTTTCATTCTCCTTCAGAAATTGCCTCTGCAGATTGGCACTGTTGGGAGATTAAGAAGTAATAACAGCAGGAGAAGAACTGAGTAATTCACTGAACAGAGACTGAAGAAGCATCTGATTTAGGCCCAGGATAGAAAGAACAAAGCTCAAGAAAAGTATAGACTGAGCTCTGTATGGCATCCTTCCAAATGCATAAATGTCAAGTATACAATATGGATTTTTTTAGTCAAGCTGACTCTGCTCTATTGGAGTAGACTGTAAGGCTATTTAGTGAGGCACTAGCCGATTAAAGCAAATGTGAATGCAGAGTGGTCCATTTTGAAACTCTATGAAAAATGTGATCTATTTTGAAAATTTCCAAACAGAGACTATGCCCTTGAAATTCTAGACAGCTTTGAAATGTGTTTCAAGTGGTAGCCTAAAGCCCTTAAAACATATCTTGTGGAGTCTCCCAGCACAAGCTGTGTGATTCTGAGATGAGGAAGGGAGGCGGGTTAGTGCATAAATGGGATATTTTAAAAATATCTTCTGATCCTAATTTTTTCCCTCAAAATAACATCATCTTCTACCTGGTGACCTCTGCCAAAGGTTGGTCAGCTATAAATGCATAAATTTATATTTTTCTTCTAGTTTAAATAGTTCCAATCAAGAAATTACATTTTAACTAAAAAGGAACACTCCCTAATAGGCTTAAAGTATGGACATACAAGTCTGATTTAAAAAAAATCTAAGAAGCCATGTAGGTAGGCAATAATCTACCAGAAGATAAAGGCTGGATCATCCATGTAAAGATATTTTAAACTCTATTTTAGTAGACTGTAAAAAACTGAAGATTCTCATATAGCAGGGATACTGAAGCTTTAACTGGCAGATAAACTAATGAAGTTGGGAACTAAGGATGAAATAGGCCTCCTGGGCCACTGAATGTCCCCTGCATTCACAGGCAACTCTTCATCCAAAAGTGTCCAAAAGAACACCTCCTATGTTCCCTTTCTCTCAACATAGCCCCACGGCACCTAGGAAAAAACCCTACAGTGTGCCACAGGTTGATGATGAAGGAGGAAGGAAGAGAACTGCCTTTGCCTTACCACAGCAGTGACAGGAAATTAGTTTAAAGTATGCTCAAGAAGATAAATAAATTAGACTTCTTAGGGGAGACTCAGCGGTGCTTAATACGTGATTGAAAAAGACTGAGGACCTTTCTGTTATTAGTCACACAGAAAAGCATTTACTTTCTAGAGTACAGTGCTTTACTTTAGATAGATCAAGGGACTTCAAAAGAATGTACATAACCTTTCAGCAGGACAGACTGATTTCTGGAAAAGGTCTGAAATATTCCACACAGCTAGATAAATTGAACCTGAATCAATTATTAGCATTTGATTTTGCTTGTCACCCAAAATACCTGGGAGACAAGAGCAGAAACACTGGAAATCCCATTTTCTGGGAAAGGAGGTGCGAGTATTTATTCTGACAAGTCCAGGCTAGGGCAATTAGAAGAATGCAAGATCCGTGTCTTACTTTCCAGAAAAACTGATGAAGGAGGATTAGGGGAGAGATATACATTCTTGATCCTTATAGAGGAGATATCAGTCCAGTCAAGTTTAAATTCCAGAATCAATTGCTCGTCAGAAGGGATGATGATGAAAGTTTGAAGCCAGGAAGAAACAGAAATGTGTAGTACTTTTTTGGTGATTTTTAAAATCCAACTTTTTGAAAAAGGTTTTTCCAAGGTGCTAGAAAAAGAAAGCGATTAAAAAAACCAAAGGAAAGAGGCACCGAATCTGTATAAGACATGAGTTCATAGCTATTAAGCTGCATATCAGATGTGCTGCTTTGAGATAATGACATGGATGTAGAAACTACAACAGTTAAAGGGCAAGGCCTCTACAACTGATGAAAAGTCAAACTGCTTCCTTCTCCATCTTTCTTAGAAAATTGCTGTCCACTTTCTTGAGGTGGAATAAGCTGAATGGTGACCATTCTGAAACTGTTGGAACTAGCACTGGAAAACAAGAGCAGTTCTTCTGTAGGAAGGCAGGAAAATGTAGAGTCTCTTTAGATGGCATTGTTTGGGTGCTCAACATCTCTGCGCTATCAAATGGAAGAATAGTTGTCTACATCTAAGTGGATGAAATCATTGCTCTCCACTTGTATCATACATTGTTACTATTAATATAATTATACATCTGAGGCAGAGTCTAAAAACTCAAGGCCTTGAGCCTCAGGCACATAAATGGACATTCACACAGGGGAAATAAAGGAATAAAGAATGTTTACCTTTCAAAAATTCCTTGGCAACTTCCCTCTGTCTTCCTGGAAGTGAAATCTAGAAGACTTTGCATGGAGCTAAGGAGGACTTCAGTTTCAAAGACCCTATTGATACTAACTGTAAAACCCTAGGTCAAAAAGAAAGGGTGCTCATATCTGCAGTCATTATTATATGTGCTATTGGATATTTGTTCTGGGCCCAAGTGGGACACCGTGTCTTGTTTTTGACACTCTAAACTTTCAGCACCAAGGACAGCCAAACCAAAGTTATAAAATCAACTGAGTTTCATATCTGAATCTTTTTTTTCCAGTGTCTAAATCTAAACTACTAGAAACTGAAGCTACAGAGCCACACTTACATGTTTGGGACTTTATAGGTTCTTTCATTAAGAATATTTCCATCATAAGTTTCTATTTGATACCATCTGAACAAGAGGTAGAACTTTATGAGAAGGAATTCAAACAAACAGAATGGTATAAGACAGACATTTTTTTCTGATGGACACAACATGCTTCAAAATCCCTATTTTCTTATATAGATGAGAAATTAAAACAGCAAAACATCAGTAAATACTCAGGGAAGCTAGAGTTTTGTTCCTTGAACAGTATTTTTATATAACTCTTGATAATAACAACTAAAAACTAATTCACAAGAATTAACAAGGAAAAATGGAAGGGAGGAAAAAACAAATTAGCAGATTAATCAATTGAGTACTCCTGTACAACCTAGTCCAGAGTGTACATTGATAACTATTGCTTTTTATCATTCTGGAGCTCACGGTAAAAAGGTATATGCTTGCAAACAGGGAGAAGTGGGAACAATTCCTAAAGGAAAACATACTGTGAAGTTTTAAATATTCTAGGACCATATTCAGATCTGACTTACACCAGTGTAACACAAGTATAATGCTGCTGACTTCAGTGTTGTTACTCCTCTTTACATGAATCTAAGCGAGTTAAGAATCAAGCCATTAGCCTTTAATGAAATTTTAATGATCCACCTGGGGGAGCTAAAGGGCAATTTGTTTCCAGATTGATTATGGCAAAATGTTCTGGATGCATAATTAATTTGGAGTATGTAATGTAGGTAGGGAACTGTAAGCCCATGACCAATTCCTTTTTCCCACTGGTACTCTGTGTAAATTTCTAAAAAAAAAAAAGCTTTTTTCAATTGCTTTTAAGAATTCCAGACACATTTCTTTTATATACTTGAAACAAATCAAATTTGAGATGTCCATATCCTGTCTTGGTATGAGCATGCCATATCCATTGAATTCAGTAGTCTTTGGATATGTGTATAACTTAAGGCAGAATTTGGTCCTAGTTGTTATCTATTTTCATGTTGATAAGTGGCTGTAGCTCACATTAAATGTAATGGGATTTTGTTTGGAGAATAAATTACAACCATCAGTAATATTTTCTTTCAGTTTATCTTTTTATAAGCCCTAGTCTTAAATTGTATCTGAGCTATGCTCTGAACATCTCATGGGGTGGTGGGAATTGGATTGATACCATTTTTGTGTCTTTCCTTTCCCATATCTAGGACTAACTGGAACCTGGGCAGCTCCCTATTATAAGTCAGAGCAGCTGTTCTAGCTTATGCCTAGCTGCCTATAGCCCCCAAGAGGGCTTTTCTGGCAACCCAAGGATGATGAGATGAACAATCAATGTGGTAAAGCCTTCCACACTAAGTTCTAAGGTGCTAGATATAAAACCTTGTTAGTTTGTGAGGAGAAGAAAAAGTATGTGGCATAGGCACTCTTTGCCAGCTAGGTGATACTCTATAGACCAGCTTACCTGACAATATGTTTGTCACAGCAGATTCAAAGTCTTACCATAAATGTTTTAAAATGGAGAACAATTCAGTTATAGATACCTTAATCTATTTTTAGGTTTCATATGATAAAACCATGCTATTACATTATTGATTATAATGTTGGAAATTTAGATTTGCCCTTTAGTCATTATACAATAAATGTTGACAATTATTTCCATGTATTTTGTGTGTGTCAAATCTGTCTTACCTGAGAGATAAGAAAGCAAGATTGAAAGCATGAGTAACAGTGAAAATATTTTGTTTCATTACCATCATTTCTTGAGTACATTAAAGACGGCTTTGCTCTATACCTAGTTTGTCCTAGAAGAAATAAACTGTAAGCAATCTTATAAAAATAGTGTTGCTATACTCTTTTTAACCAAACTGGAAATAACATGTTTTGTAGTTGTCACCTTTGATATCACATAATTTTTAGGAAGGAAAAATGTTTCTCTAAGAATTAAAAATCCAGAAGCCAAAATTTAAACTGTGCTAATTAAGTTTCATGATTAAGACAATTCAAGCATATGAAAGTAAAAGGTATATTCAACTCAGGTACAGAAGCTATAATCATTAAGCGACAGGAACAGTACTTAAAATGTAATTCATAATGCACTTTCTTTTCATATTACACGTTTAATTGATAATAGAATAGATTGAAGTGTGTTTAAACTAAATTTTTTTTCTTTCATGCTGTAAATAAATCAACTTACATTCATTAGTTCAATCTCCCAGATTTTTTTCACTAGGTCCATCGCTGTATAGCCATTAATCAGAAAGGATTTGGTATAGTCACCCAGTTCAATGGAGTCCAGCCACTCAGCCACAGAGGGGGGGTTGTAGCCATCATGACCAATTTGTTTCATCTGTAATATAATAACGACTAAGAATGACTAGAAATATTAATTAGTTAAGTACTTTTTAATACATCAATAATGTGCTCTGTTCTTTGGGACTGAGTTATTTTATTTTTGCCAATATTTCTCCAATGGTTACTAGTGTGAAAAAATGGAGAACTACTGGCATTTTGATTTACTTTTCTAAATTCTTCTGAGCTACCACTTAGTAAGAGCTGTGATTTTTCTTTCAGAAACATCTCTGAATGACACAGTTGAAGATTTTAGAGATAGCTATTAAAGATAAAATGCATAAAATCTCTGCTTGTTCAGCTGTTTGTGATATATTGTTTACTTGAATTTTAAAGAAATATATGAGTGGATCAAATGGCACATGGGAGGAGAAGAAAGACAGACTTATGAAACAGCCTCAATGCGCAATAATATTATATGCATAATATCCTTATACAGAAGGATAACTACTGCTAACTCAGTAATATATTGCAGCGGTAAACTTTTAAGAAGATTTAGGAGGTTTAGAATGCCTTATATTTGGCACACGATCTATAGTGTTTGTAACAGTAATATAGTGCATGCTGGAAGCCATTCTCCCATTTTTGTCTGCTTATATGCATTTCTCCTTTAAAGGAACAAAGCGAGTCTGACAGGAACATAATACTATTGAGCTTAAGTTTGAAGAGAATGACAAAGTGATTTAAAAAGTAGAGATTTCTGAACTTAAAATCTTGCCTGAACCAATTTATTTCTTTACAGTTTATTTGAAATGTAATTTGAATTCAAGTCACTAAAAAAAAAAGTTTGCTTTTTGAAAGCTGAAGTAATGCTTGCCAAAAATAAAAAGGACTGTCACTTCAAATAGTTGACAGGCAGCTAGCACATCATGATCTTGGTCTTATTTTGTTGAGGTTCCCAGAAGAAATAGATAAAACTAAGCATACTATGCTATGGGGCTGGTCACAGTCGTCTTTGGCTCTTTGTTGCAGGTGCTAGATATAAAATTTTAACATAAATATTTCTAGGATGCCTGTGAGACTGACATCCTACATCATAAAACAGAAACTAGAGGTTCCAGAGAATTAGTAATGGGATATTTAGCCTTTCTTCTCTACTTTTGCAACAGAGGGGCTGTTGTCAACAAATGAGATTTAATATACAGCAAAACCTGTGATAACAAAACTGAGCTATGGATGGCTTCAGTAGACTCGATAGAGACCTATAGTTCTATTTAACAGAGGACAATGAAATACTGGAATTTGGTTTCATTCTCCTCTCTGTTTCACTTTGTTGGAAACCTTGGCTCCAGGGTTTTGTTCTCCATGATCGCTGTCAGATCCAGAAACCTAGTTACTCTGATTCTGTGGCAGCTCACCTCAAAAGCTGCTGCAGCTTGCAAGAGTTGCAAGCCTCCCAGTTGGGATGCCCAGGTTTCTAGCTCCTCATCAATCTACCATATGGGCTGCAGAAATCCAGGGCCTGTGAGCTGGCAGGAAACAAGGCAAGGGTCCATCAAAAACTTGCCTAGTTTCCACTAGAATTTAATTGGAATCAACCTTGTCTCACGGAATGTTTAGAATTCAGCAAACTGGGATAAAATGCTTAGTTGAATTTTTTCTGACTAATTCTAGCTTTATCTAAACCTGGACGAAGAAATATGCAATGTTCTTCACCAGAAGGCAAGGTGAGATCAGCTAAGATTAAAGATAAATAAATGAAAGAGGGAACTTAAATGGTTCATCCACAATCTCTCTCATATAAAGGGCAAAGATTTACAAACCCCTTTGTGTCTGTGCTTATGAAAAAGCTGGTCTTTCAAAAGACCTAGGACCTGAAAACCAGGGGCCCTGAAACTCAGAAGGAAAGAACTTTCAAACCTGGAGGAGAAAAGCTGTATATCATACAGTCTTTGGGAGCGTATCACTTTTAAAAACAATACTTTCACTATAATTAAGCAAAGGGAAGCATACATCCCTGAACCCTTCATAGTAAAATGTGAATGTAAATTCCTTATTTTGTTTATCATTTTCTTTTTCTTTTTAATAAATCCTGATTTTAACATGATCTGACTTATTGCATGTTGCCCAGGAAATTTCACACAGACTTCTCCAAAACAGTGGTAACCTATCAATCTCTAAGGAAATGAAATGAAAGTTATGGAATTGCAAAATTTTCCACTCCCATGAAATATGAACATAAATATCTTCCTCCATTATGGTGTTGCATGGGCTAAAAATACAGGTGAAAAAAGGGGAAAAAGTTTAATAACCAAGAAGCTGAGAAAAAATGAGGTGCCTCCAAGGATGTCACTGTTTTGAACGTGGTGCCAATAGATGGAGACAGTTATCCACTGTTAGCAATTGTTAGTTTCTGACACAAAATAAGAGGTTGTCTACTAGGCAACTGTCTAACACCAAACCTGCTGACAAAACAAGTATCTTTGCTGTAAATCCTGGCTGAAAGACCAAATTTGCTTCCACAAAGCTCCAACTACTTTATTGTGCATAGGATATAATCTCTCCAGATAATGGTCAAGGTATATGGGTTAGCTTTCAGTACTAGCACTCTAACAATTCTCTTTCCTATTGAAGTTACCAGTACCAGCTAATCTATTAGCTCTTACATAACTGAGAACTAGGGGTGTGCGAAACAGGCCCTATTCAATTTGGATTCGGCCTGAACCAGGGACAGCGATTTGATTTGTTGATTCAGAACACTGTCCCTGATTCAATTCTGCCAGATCTGAATCTGAAGATTCAATGCTGATTTGGAGAACCAATCTACCATATGATAGATTCAGCGATTCAGACACAGACACAGCTTTAAATGTTTTTTCTACATACCTCGATGAACCAGCACGACTTGTGAACGCTGTGATGGCGGGGCACATGGAGTGTCCCACAGGAGTGTGGGGGGCCCTCCATGTGCTCAGCGGTGAACCCGGAGTCAGATCATGTTAAAAATCAGGATTTATTAACTCAGTGGCAAAGTACTTCTGGTCCACTTCTGGGTTCACTGGGTAGTGCTCAGGGGGCCCCCCACACACTCTGCTGGCTCAGCAATCAGCTGGAGGGGGATCCTGGGTGCCCCGCCAGACCCAGGATGCACCAGTCAACGAGCCGGGTGGGGGGGGGTGTGTGCAGCGCACTCCCCAGCAGTCCTGGAAGTGGACCGGAAGTGCTTCTGGTCCACTTCCGGGTCTGCTGCTGAACGTGTTGGGGAGCCACCTGCCCTTCTGTGGGACACTCCATGTGCTCCAGCATCGCAGTGTTCATGAGCCACCTGCTACCTAGAGGTATGTAGAAAAAACATGCAAAGCTGTGTCTATGTCCAAATCTCTGAATCTCTCTGAATCAATTCAGAGGGTTCCAATTTGATTTGGAGAAATTAAAGGGTTCTCTGACTTGGTTGGCAGGGGAATTGGCAGGGGTTATTGCGGGGCCCCTGGCATGGCTTAATGCCATGCCACTCGTGGTGCTCTGGCCAGCTGCTGGATGACTGGAAGAAGGCCATTGTGGTCCCCATCTTTAAAAGGGAAGGGTGAAGACCTGGGAAACTATAGGCCCGTTAGTCTTACTTCAATCCTGGGGAAGCTCTTTGAGAAGATTATCAAGGAGCACATCTGTGATGGGCCAGCAGCAGGGATGATGCTCAAGGGCAACCAGCATGGTTTCATTAGAGGCAGGTCCTGTCAGGCCAACCTGATTACCTTCTACGATCAGGTCACAAAAGCATTGGACACAGGTGTCGCAGTGGATGTAGTTTTTGTGGACTTCAGGAAGGCCTTTGACACTGTCCCCCACCCCCATTCTCATTAAAAAGCGACTGTGATGTGGATGCCTACACAGTCAGATGGACTGCAAATTGGCTGAGGGGTCATACTCAGAGAGTGGTGGTGGATGGGTCATATTCGACCTGGAGGGAAGTGGGCAGTGGAGTCCCCTAGGGCTCAGTCCTTGGGCCCACACTGTTCAATTTCTTTATTAGCAACTTGGACGATGGGGTGAAAAGCACCCTGTTTAAATTTGCAGATGACACCAAGGTTTGGGGTGAAGTGGGCACACTAGAAGGGAAGGACAGATTACAGCGGGACCTGGACAGGTTACAGAAGTGGGCAAATAAAAATAGGATGGAATTCAATACTGACAAGTGCAGGGTGCTGCACTTAGGCAGTAGGAAACAGCAGCATACCTGTAGGCTGGGAAACTCCTTTCTTGAAAGCATGGTGGCAGAAAGAGATCTTGGAGTCATTACTGACTCCAAAAACAACATGGGCCGACAATGCGAGCACACGCTCAGTAGGGCTAACCGTACCTTGTCATGCATCCACAGATGCATCACAAGCAGGGCCAAGGAGGTGATCCTCCCCCTCTGTGCAACACTTATCAGGCTGCAGCTGGAGTACTGCGTCTAGTTCTGGGCGCCGCACTTCAGGAGGGATGTAGACAGCATTGAGAGGGTCCAAAGGAGGGTCACTCGCATGATCCAGGGACAGCAGGCAGACCCGATGAGGAGAGGCTACGGGACCTTAACCTGCTCAGCTTTCACAAGAGAAGGCTGAGGGGGGACCTGGTGGCTGTCTATAAACTTACTAGGGGGGACCAGCGGGGACTGAAAGAGACCTTGTTCCCCCGATTGCCTCCCGGAGTAACAAGGAATAACAACCATAAGTTGTTAGAGGATAGGTTTAGACTAGACATTAGAAGGCAGTACTTTACAGTCAGGGCAGGTAGGATTTGGAACCAACTTCCAAGGGAAGTGGTGCTGGCTCCTACCATGGG